ATACATACATACATACATACATACATACATACATACATACATGCAAAAGCGGGTTATGGGCAAAGCTTCCACCGCAGAAGGTTACCTCAGAGGGTTTTAAAAACCGTTTTAGTGCTTTGCAAACAAAGACTCGTATTCCGGATCTTGGTAATGTAATGAATAGGGATAGAGTATGGGGCCTGTAAAGCATACACACGGGTTCGAGTCCCAACAGTAGCTGAAGTTCTGCTTATAGCTCTACATTATTGTTAGACCATCGCGAACTGTGGCGAAATATCGGTACTTAACAAAAACACCAACAAGTCACAACAAGTACTGAGATACATTTATTAGTTTAAAGGGTTGGGGATTACCCCTGACGAAGTAGAAAAGGAACTGATTTCACGATCACGCCTTCAAATCTGTATCTACGCCAAGAGCAAAATCAGATCCATTTACAACTTTAAAGAGGAGCCATTTTTTCAGTTGGCTTTCAAGAAAACCCATTGTTCCCTTTAATACACCCCACGTTCATGTACCAAATAAGAAATTGTAGTTGTCTTGTCTAACAGCATAATTTAGGAACAGGATTACAAAAACAACGACACTAGCTCACGAGCATTTAATCTTGTCTAATGTAAGAAACCCTTAGATGCACTTGTTACCGAACAAAACACACGTTAAACTAGAACTGACTGAACGTCGGGGAACAACTTTTCTCTTTTTCTTATCATATTTCCCTAGTCATATACTAAACGCCTCAGCAAATAGCCTTCATTTATAGACGGTAATCCATGTTATGATCGTGAATCATTAGCACCGCAACGATGTGTGCCCGACTTCATCAATGCGGCATTCAATCTCGAAGTAGAGGTCACGAATACTTGTGGTGTACGATATCCCACAAAGTTCGTTTTTGTTTTCTCTCAAATTCGTATACGCTTCACATAAAAATCTACTATTTTTAGGTTCTGTGTCCAGTCGGGTCATTCGGGTTTGCGGAGTGTCTGCGATACGTGCGATGACCGGCATCCGGTGAGCTTATCTAACATACATATCTCCACCGTTTACTATTTATGGACCACCTCAACGTGGTAAGAGGGTGGCGTTCGGGCATGTAGGCGTGTTCGATATTAAGTAATTTCGGTTTATGTAACAGTAATATTTCTAATTCCTAATTTTTAGCATTTCATCCTATGCACTAATGCAAAACTCCGGTGTTATTCAGTCATGCGGGAGTTTATCTTGACCGACTTGCCGCTTCGCGTTCGAAGCTGCAGTTAGGTAGATGTGCGAGGAGTTGGAAGGATGGCGGCCCCCTTGATTGAGTCCCCCTTGTTCGTCCGCCCGAGGTCGCGGTTGAATTCGTTCTTCATGCGTTAAGCTGCGTACAGCAAGCCCTGGTACGTTACGTCTAAGTCATCGCGTTCTGGATCAAGGGCCAGGATTCGCTCGGAAAATATCCGCCTACCAAAGGGGAGGCGTCCTGTCGCCCTGCCACATGCTTTCGTCACTACCATCAGATGTCGGCTTGTATGGTCCGAAACTCGCCTAAATTTCCTACTGTTCGACGGAGCTTTGCGTTAGAGCCTTCGTCTCTTAATTATTATTTATACACATACAGCAGCGCTCAAAAGTCTTCGGTGAAATGGTTCTTCAGCCGTATTTTTCACTCGTAACTCCTTTCCTACTGGACCTAGTTATGCAAAATTTCTACATTTTGAGCGTGGGTGTTTTGTGAATATTTACCACTATTAACTTGCAATCTGACCATGTTACAGATATTCCAAAGAGCATGAACTCAAAATCGACTGAAAACACAGATGATGGCTCTTCTAGAATCTCCTTCCTTTTTTTCATGTCTAAAGTGTACGAGCGGTAACGCCGAACACAATAGATGAGAAAAACGCACATAAGGTGCGAATAAGTGCAGACGTCAACTACTTTACTTTTAGCAAAATCTGCTAATGCAACAAACACCTTGCTCTAGCTATGGATATTGCAGCTTCGCAGTCAAGTAGTGTTGGGTAGGGTGAAATATGCTCTAGTTAGACATATCTAAATTTTGCGCGATTTGGTCTACTAAGAAAAAAAAGTTATGAACGAAAAAGCTTCAAAGCATTTCACCGAAGACTTTTGAGCGCTACTGTATCTACATGTAACTAATAGTACAACGACATGTCTGCATGTCTGAACGGCCAAGAGTAGGCCAACTCAACTCCCTCTGATCCAGAGTGGCTATAGCCACGATGGTGAAGACTCAGCACTGGCCCTGGCGAGGCAGTGTTGAGACTCCAGGGAGCAAGCTTGCTGAACCAGCAATAAAACAGCCTCAGTACCCCGCACACTGGGCCCAGCCGTCTCCGGCGTCGGAAGGTATGGCAACTGGTGAGAGGCTAAAAAATGTCGGGTTGCGTAGGGCGCCTCGGATTTTGGACTATGACAGCACTCCGTCCACACGACACAGACACTCTTTCCTACTTTATACCTACAACGCGAGAACAGTCTCTTCCAGTGCCGCTCTCCATGAGCTCCTAGATGCGGCTACTCACATTAAATATCATGTGATTGCGCTGCAAGAAACCAAGAGCAGGGGAACCGACGTGCGACGAATAAATGATGGAACCCTCATCATTCGCGGTGAAAAACTTCCATCGCGAAGCGTCGGCGGCGTTGGTTTCGTCGTGCACCCGTCTGTCGTTCATCTCGTCGATTCTCACGAGGTCCTGTCTCCTCGCTTTGCCATCCTGCGCCTACGACATACGCACATGGGACCATCTCTATCGTCTACTGCTACTCTCCACATTCTACAGCTAACAAAGTAGAGCTCGATGCGTTTTACGACCAACTTGAGGAAATCATCCGCAACGAAAGTCCTTCTACGAATTCGTTGTTGGAGATTTCGACGCTAGGCTTGGCGAAGCACAAGAGGAGGAGTTCAGGATTGGAAAGTTCGGAATGGGGGACAGGAACGAGAACGGAAACCGTCTAGCTGGACTCCTGTCCGCAGCTCGACTCTTACATGGAAATTCTTTCTTCCAGAAGAAGGAACATCGCCGCTGGACATGGAATCTCCAAACGGTACAACTCATGCTGAACTGGACCACATGTTAACAAACAGAAGGTGGTGCTTACTAGATGTTGGTGTGGTACCATCTTTCTGCAGTGGTTCCGATCATCGACTACTTCGCGCTAACAAGGGAAGGATCCCAAGTCGAAGTGGCCATTTGAAATGAGACCTATACTGCTAGACGTATTTTTCGATGCTGAATTCAAATCTGCATTCAAAACCTGCCAAACGATTCTCTGAGCGAAGTTATGGAGGTGGTCTCCGGAGAGCGCTCAACAGGG